TGAACCTTTCAAGCTTTATACGTAATCTGGTGAAAGTCAAGGGAAAATCAAGCAAATGAGATGGTGTAGCTAAATATGATGCATTAATCTTAGATTCGAACGCTAGACTGGCCCCCAAATATATCCCAGCTATATGACACACCAACTTTGCGATTTTTAGGCATTCACAGGAGTGTGGTTTCTATTTTGCAGGCAAAACACAAACTCATATTATGCAAGTTAAAACTACACTGACGTATCACAAAAAAATGGTCCAAAACAAAGTTCTTACGATCCAATATTTTCAAAAGCATGAAATGGGGTATATAAAAAGGTAAAGGAGATGAAGCGAAACGTTTGATACATTTGCAATTTCAAAAAGAAATAGGCAACAAGACTTAAAAAAAGAGAATAAGTCTGACCTGGACAGCCTTTAATTGTATTTCATAATCTCTTATACGCTTTTCGAACTCTGTAACTTCTTTTTTATGTGCATCACGTACGTTCCGCAAGAGTTCATCATTCAAATCACGTTCTCGGATCGTCTTCAACAGCTTCTCACGATACTCAGAATTTTGTTCTTCTAACCTAAAGAAGGATATTGCTCGTAAAAACCTTCAAAAATCGAAAAATACCTTTCAATCTCCTTTTGCTGGGTATTGTACTTATCATAAAGCGATTGTAACTGTGTGCATTCCTCAGTAATGGTGCCATTCTGTGATGAACTTGCTGTTGAGGTAGCTGTATTGCTGGCACCAGCATCAATTGGAGAGTCTACGCTTGCACTACATTCGTCCATAGCTAGACTTAAAAATCACAACATCTGAAAAGATATTTCGAGAAAAAATATAATAAATCATGCGATTACGATACAATGGGAGTAGGTGATTTATTTAGTACAGTCCACAGATCCCCGACTGAAAACCACCGACGTTATTTTCGTGACAACCAGAATTCTATTTGCAGATAGCCAAGCCTCAAGTACAGAGAGTAAACGAGTCACACTATAGCGTCGAAAAACTTCAGATTGTGTCAATAAGGCGATCATACAATAGAACTAGTACGATGGCTTGAATTTCGTACTTTTCCAACTACCTAATCTGAAACTGCATGGTAGGTGAACTTAAAAGAAGAACAAAAGCGGCATTTTCATAGGGAAATATATTTTACGAAA